TGCAGTGTATGCATGGGGGAGAAGTGTGTATGGGGGTACAGTGGGGGCAGTGTCTGTATGGGGGTACAGTGGGAACATTGTGTGTATGGGGGTGCAGTGGGGGCAGTGTTGTATGAGGGTGAAGTTGGGGCAGTGTGTGTATGGGGGTGCAGTTTGTGTATGGAGGTGCAGTTTGGGCAGTGTGTGTATGGTGGAGAAGTGTGTGTATGGGGATACAGTGGGAGCATTGTGTGTATGGGGGTGCTGTGGGTGTAGTGTGTGCATGGGGGTGCAATGGTGCAGTTTGGGCAGTGTGTGTGCGTGTAGGGGGTGCAGTGGGGGTAATATGTGTATGGGAGAAGTGTGTGTATGGGGGTACAGTGGGGGTAGTGAGTGCATAGGGGTGCAGGGGGTAGTGTGTGTATGGGGGTACAGTGGGGGGTAGTGTGTGGTGGGGCAGTGTGTGTGTAGTTGGGGGAGGAAGCTGATTAAAACAGTGTTGTTGTTTTTAAATTAAAAAAAATATGCTTTATATCCCCCCTCTCTTCTTACCTCCTGGGCTAGAGTTCACTCTCGCGAGAACGTAGCAGTGCCATGATAACCGCGGCAACGCTCCGTGCTCGCAAGAGGATAACCGGGGGGGCTGCAGGCTAGAGCTCCTGGGTCTCCTCTCCCTCCTGTGCCGGCTGCTCAGCGATGTGCCTGCGGACTGGTGAGGGAGATCTATGATCTCCCCTCCGGTCTGTGAAGGCACACAGCAGGGACAGCGCTTGGATAGCACCGGCTCTGCATTAGAGAGCATTGGCTCTGGGGCAGTTGCCGCGTTGTCCCCCTGGATCTGCCACTGCCTCCCATTACTCTAATACACTGTCCCCCTTTCATCACTCTAACACACTGCTGCCTCCTTCCCCAATTTAAACACACTGCCCCCCTCCCACCACTCTAATAAACTGTCCCCTGTCTCCCACGATTAATACATTGCCTTCCTCCCAATTTAACACACTGCACCCCTCCCTCTCCAATGTTAATACACTGCCCTCCCCCAAATGTAACACACTGTCCTCCCCCCACCATTCTAAAGCACTGCCTACTACCTTCCCCAATTTAATACACTGGCCCCATTCCTCCCCAAATTAATACACTGCCCCCTCCCTCCATCAAATTAATACACTGCCCCCCTCCTCAATTCAATACACTGGCTCCCCTCTCTCTCCCAAATTAATACACCGCCTCCTCCTATCCTTTAAATTAATACACTGCCCCCTACCTCCCTCAAATTAATACACTGGCCCACTACCTCCCTCAAATTAATACACTGCCCCCTCCCTCCCACAAATTAATACACTACACAGGAAAGTTTCCCAAGCCCCTCTTATCCTAGCTTAAGATGAGCCGTCCTTCAGTTCCAACCCCGGTCTGCTCAAGCAGGCCAGACGCCACTCTGCGCTTTTGCGGCCGTGGGAGCACGTGATCGGCCGTGCTTTGTGCAGCCACAGCACAAAGCAGCCCCATGGCAGACAGGCCACAAAGATAATCATTGTTGCGCCCGTGGGACGCAAGTTTGACCTGCTTGGTGCGCAGCATCACCGCAGCACATGCATATATGTTTTATGCGACTCAAGCGAGCTTACTTATCTGCATGATGACACACTGTGCTGTAGGTCATGCCCTACTGTGACACAGTTCCCATTAGACTCATGTGCTACTTATCACAATAGTCGACTTAAAAGCGCACAACACTGCTCCCGAATGTTAATCACTACTAGCTTGGCTGTCCCTAGTGTCTTGTAGCACTGTATCATTATATCTAACCTTTTTAAATTCCTGGTATTCACGCTGGTCAACTCGTTATAACTATCCAGCACACTTTATATAAAAACATGCAATGTTTATACCTGCCATGTCTCTATATTGATATGTTGATCGTTATGTCTCTTCTGAGATGGATATGAGATTGACCTGCCTAAGATATAACAAAGGGTAGTTGAGAACGACAGGGCCAAGATCCTGTGGGACTTTCATATCCAGACGGACAAGCACGCACTAGCTAACCAACCTGACATTGTGGTGGTAGACAAGGAACAGAAGACTGCAGTAGTGGTGGATGTGGCAATACCCAATGACTATAACATCAGGAAGAAAGAACACGAGCAGATGGAAAATACCAAGGACTGAAAGAAGAGCTAGAATGGATGTGGAAAGTGAAGGCATTAGTAGTCCCAGTTGTGATAGGAACACTCAGAGCTGTGACTCCTAAGTTCGGGGAGTGGCTTCAACATATTCCAGGGGGGACATCTGTGATCGCTGTTCAGAAGAGTGCAGTACTAGGAGCAGCTAAGATACTGCGCATAACCCTCCAACTCCCAGGCTTCTGATAGAGTTTTATATATATACACAGTATATATATTTTACAAATTACAAATATAGTAAACAGGAAAGGCTAAACTATCACATTGAGATAAGTTTGCCGACTCTTAACTAGGTATTTAGTTGAAGCACCTTTGGCAGAGATTACATTCTCAAGTCTTTTTGAAGTTGTGTTCACCTTGATATGGGATCTCTGCAGATCCTCTTATGTCAGGTTGAATGAGAATAGTTAATGAACAGCCATATTTATGTCTCCCCAGAGAATCCAGAGATTTTTTGGATTCAAGTCTGGGCCCTGGCTGAGCCATTCAAGGACATTCTGGACAAGGTTTTCATTAAGGGGATATCTGTATTTTGCAACGGTCAGCTTTTCCTCAATCTTGACCAGTCTTGAATCTGAAAAATGCCCCCAAGCATGTTTCTACCACCATCATGCTCCACCGTTAAGATGTACTGCATGGGTGATTAGTGGTGCCTGGTTTCCTCCAGACAAAATGCTTTGAATTGAGGCCTAACAGTTCAATCTTTGTTTCATCAGACCACAGGTATGATATCGTTTGTCATAATCTGAAAGTGCTTTACGTGCTTGTCTGCACATTCCAAGCGGGTTTTCATATATTTTGCCAGACTGCCATAAAAGCCAGATTGTTGGATTGTTGCAGTGATGGCTGTCCATCTGCAAGTTTCCTCCATCTCCATGCATGATCTCCGGAGCTCACCCAAAGTCACCATTGGGTTCTTGAACAACTATTTTAAAAGTATGGCTTAGCAGCCAGCTCTAGGAAGAATCCTGTTTATTCCAAATTTCTTTAATTTAGAAATTATAGAGTGCCATTGGGAACCTTGAAATGTAGCCAGACACTTTTGTAGCCTACCCCAGATCTGTGCTTTGAAATAATCCTGTGTGAGCTCTGCAGGCAGTTCCTTTGACCTGATCCAGAGAAATTGGATGGATCTGAGCTAAATTCAAGTGTTATAGCAAAGGGTCTAAATACTTCAGTTTTGAGGTTTCAGTTTTGCTTGATTTTTATTTTATTTTTTTCAAAAATGTGCAAGGAATATGGCTTTGGTGCAAAGTTTGCTGTATCTAAAAATCCAAAATTTTCAAAAGTGAAAACATAACCAGTTTATTTATAGTGAAAATGCACATTAAAAAAAAAATCATGCCAAGATATGTAAGGTATTAAGCTTACCCAGCAAGCATATGGGGAGTTATTCCAGATGACAATTTATTTGCATATTCTAATTTGTTAATTTGTTTACCTTGGTTAATATATAATCCTTCTATAAGTGTTAATTATCTGTCTACTATTTTATATACCTAGAATGTGTAAACAACATGCCAGTGCAACTTTTCCCAGAAGCATTCTTGACTCATATACCCTATGTGACACATTGAGAAGGATGGCTGGTAGGTAATTAAACTTTCACTCTTTGTTACTCTCGCAATTCCGGCATATTGATCATGTGATTAATGAAGATGACTAATGCTTATAGTTTGGAATTGAATATGTGTGCTTTTAACACAAAAGTTCAGAAACTGCTTTCAAATGAAAATTGGTTTAGAATTGTGATCAAAGCATAAATAAGGAACTTGTTTTAATAGTAAAATTAAGCACTTCCCCATCAACCAGGCTTTCACCATCATTTGCATAGGCTTATATTTATCTGTAATTTTCTTTGTATTTATGATTCCAGTGATTTGCTGTATATCACCCAGGAAATAGCTGTGTACTTAATGTATTAGTAAGGATAATAACTGAACATTTATTTATTGTTCAACAATGCAGGAACAATTAAGGAACAATAAAAAAATATGAATATTATTAACATTGCATTCCTCAAATTTTTAAAGCAGAAAAAAAGAAAAGAAAACTATTCAGATTTAAGGGTAGATAGGTAGATTAGGTAGATAGGTAAAATGTCAAAAAGTAGGGGAAGACAGGAAAAATGAAATAAAGAAGCCAAATGTCAGGAGTACAGGTTTCTGTACTTTGTGCTCTAGCTTGCATGACACCGTGGTGGTATTTGTTGCCTGTTTTGAGTCTTGATATAGTGAGAATATAGTGAGAATACCCTTCCAAGACAATCTGCTTAATAGTTAAAGGGAACTAAACAATGCAGTAAAAATGACCCCCTATTAAATGCCTTATTAAAAAAGTTATATGATTAAGATTTAAGATTTACTACTGGACATTGAGTTTGTTAACTGTGAAAGGGCAGTTTTTACAATTCTCCCTATTAATGATTTTGCTTATTGTGAAAGGGCAGTTTTTACATTTGTCCCTAAAAACACTTTTAGTGGATGTCACACAGGTAGCCACAAGAGGTACTTCCTATTACAGTCCTGCAAGACTAACATTTGATGTTGTCACAATCTGCGTGAATATACCAAACACTCCCCATAAAGATACATTTGTATAATGCAACTTTACAAGAAGATACTGGTTGGTGCAGCATGGCAATTGTATTTGTATTTCTAACATTAGAGTTACCCTTTAAATAAATATATACCAATTTTAAAAAGAAATGTAGAATAGAAAATAAATTTTTATCACTTGTAACCAGGTGTTTACAGAGAAAGTGAGAACTATTGTTCCTTCAAAAGATTACAAAATAACCCAAACACATGCAGAATTGCCCATAATAACTTAAAACAGAAACAGGGAAATCAGTTTGGCTTTGCATTGGGATGTACCTGCACACACTGGGCACATGAGCACACCAAGGATTCACCAAGGATTTCTAGCAAATGACTGCATCTACTTATAAACCCTGGACCGAATAATTATGATATCATATTTAACCCCTTAAGGACACATGACATGTCTGACATGTCATAATTCCCTTGTATTCCAGAAGTTTGGTCCTTAAGGGGTTAAGCTAGCATGCAGCTTCTGGAAGGACACGCATGGACCAGTGAGAGAGGAAGTGAACCTCGCATAGTCAGCTAAATCAGCTCAATCAACACTACCGAATAATGAGATCATCCTCACATCATACAATTTCATTTTTAAAACAAGACACGCAGTGGAGTAACTTGAGAAATTATTACATTCAAAAATAACTTTGAGGGATCTTCAATCTCCAGTTGACACAAAATTACCCTCTTCAATACAAATAGTCTTGCATACTTTTTTACAATGTATTCTATCTATTCTAGGATTTCTGGGTCAACCTGACTAGTGGAATGTGATGGCCAATACAAAAAGACAAGTCATTTGATTAACTGTTTGTACTAAATGCACATTTAATAATGTCACATTTTCAATAAAATGCTAATTTGAATTTGCACAAGACCAGTGAGTGCTCTGTGTTTACTTTTGTACATTCTGTGGATGCAGAAGCAATGGGGCATTTTTATTCATTTAAAATCAATAATTAATTATTATTTTATTCATAATAAGTATGTGCCCCACTGATGTTGTGGATTGTGTCAGTAAATTCGGTGCTCAATTGAATAACATACTTACCAATGAGAACTTATTGCTAATCCGACATAAAAGGAATTTTTCCCTTGAGCTTGGATTTGCAACCTACAAATGTAATCAGTACAAACATTAGAGCTGCTGCTTCTGCTTGTGAAGATAAATGCTTTATGACTAAAGGGATTTTCTTTCCATTTCTGATAACCACTTTTTTATATTTCTTTTTCTTCATTTTTTGAGAAAAAATAATAAATTTGCTGTTTGATTCTACTTTTCATAAACTATGCAAAGTATTTCCCATAAAATACCTAATTGCAGTAATCCTTGCTTCCTAAATGCTTTGCAAGGCTAAAAGTATAATACTGATTTTCTAAAACATAATTCTGTCTCCCACTGATTTACCTAATCATTTTGCTAGTGCCCTACATTTTTTAATGAAAAGGCAGTATGAAAATGAGCAACTATGTGCAGGCTTTTCACAAGGAATTATTTAAATTCATTATATTAGCAGAAAAAAACAGCCTGATTGCACAGAGCTTTAATAAAATATCACTTAATTATTTTTTTTTTATTTTTTTTATTTATTTTTTTAAATCTTGGTGGGGGGAGAGAAGGGACGGGACACAAACAGACCTTATAGGAAGCAAATAATAAACAAGCAGTCTATAATATATTATATAACAATCAAAAAGACGGCACAAGTTTAAAATACTAAAACAAGATTTATTTGCTTTAATATCAAAGATCATGATCATTAAAGCACCAAAACGACTTAAGCTTGCTGAAGTATCATTCTTCCAAGTGGTCATTCGTCCTAATTTTGGACGAATTGTACAAGTCTAAAAATCATGCATATCACTGTAAGCATATCTTTAAGCAAGCTACCGGCTGGACTCAACTTTCTTTATTGCCACATAAAATGTTTTCCATAGTCAACTGTTTAAAAGTCATTTATTTGCTGCTATGAAGGCAAGGCAAGGCAATGAAAGCACATTGTGATCCTTCTGTTTGACATAAAATCTACACTATTGATTCTGCTTGGTTGCTTCATAACATGCAGTTTTAAAAGTCAGCTGTTTAGATGCAGTTCTTTACAGACAGTAAGCATTAAGATGACTATAAAGAATGACTTAAAGTCTGATATTTTGCGTTTTTCTCTACTAAAACACATACCTGCTAATTCCCAGCAAGGATATAGTCCAAGAAACTAATATATTTGGCAAGATTATGTTGTTATAAATTGGATAACAACTTGTCATTTTATGATAATTAATAGGTGACGTCATTCTAAAGAATTTAATGGATTCTATAGTGTAAGGAATACAAATCTGGATAGTGTGATCTCCAAGTTCCATTTCAGTTGCTAAGCTAATTAATCCACAATCTATCAGTCTAAAGAATCCCACAGAAGGGCAAACTGCAGACTTCATTGACAGAGGACAACAAAGTGAACAAAACCCACCTTTTAAGTTCTGGCACAAGAAGAGATCATAAATATATATAAAAGTAAAATAAAGGTAGAAGTATAATCATTAAGATACAAAAAGGATAAAGAAAGGAAAACTGAAAGGGAAAAAGGCCACTTTAACCCCTTAAGGACACATGACATGTGTGGCATGTCATGATTCCTTTTTATTCCAGAAGTTTGGTCCTTAAGGGGTTAAAGAGAGGTGAGAGAGAGTAACTGTCAAAAATGAATGCACATGCCTGTGTGTTGTATATACATGCCCCAAGGAATGGATCTACTGGAGCTGGTGCAATGGCAAGGTACTCATATAAAACTTCTTGAATGCTGACACAACTAAACTATCTCATTGCCCGTAATAACAAAAGAACGCCTGAGTATTGGATAAGGGTAACAGCCACATCTTTACTAACATCAAGTTTTCAAACAATTCCCCAGTATTCGTCCCACCTGTCAACTGTTGGGGTAACTACTCAACAGACAGATAACCTGTGTTTTCTCTATACAGCCTATCTTCTGCCATTAGCTCTAGCAGACTGCGACTAGCCAAGCCAAGGGACTACCACTGTGCTGTGTGGAACAGAAAAACAACACCAGAAAGAAAACAACAACAAAACAAAGCACAAGAGCGAGGGCGGAAAAAAACCTGATCCTCAAGATCCTTCTTCAAATGGTAAATTCCCTGCCTTCTATCCCATTTTTACATTGTACATTGCTGCCCCTGTATCCATCTCTATCCCAGGGGCAGCAGTCCAGGGGATCTCTGTAGTGTGCTAAGAACCCCAAATCCATATTTACACCAATATCTTAAGTGTTGAAGAAAATTCATAATTCTAGACTCAGCTGGTCTCCTCTCCTTAACTTGCTATCTCTTCATTTAACTCTTGTTTTCTTTTCCTTCTTTTATCATTCTATGGCAGATGTGCAACGCCTTATAATAGTTTTTGCTACTTTAACTTCTGCGTTGCAGCGATCTTAGCTTGCTTGTTTCACTATGGTCAAAAAAGCTTTACACTTGATAAAGGGAGGCTCCCATAAGCTTGTTGCTACAAATTTCTGTTGCAATAAGTGTTTAGCCTGTCAAGGGTGCATTCCTTTTCTTAGCCAAGTTGTGGCCTGAACTTAAAATTGAGCTGGAAAGATGAGCCAGATTGCAATTATTTTGGATAGGTAGGATAGCTTCAGTGAAAATTACTATTCTTTCCAAGATTTTATTTTGTATTATTTTTTAAGATGGTGCACTCTGATCTGTTCAAGTTCATCTGTAAAGGTAAATAGCCTAGCGTAAAACTGACAGTGTTGCAGGAGTTGATTGAATGTGGAGGCCTGGGGGCGCCGTGTTTTAATTATGCTACTAATACCGCAGCTGCTATTAAATTTAATTTGGATTTTAATAAACCAAAATGGTTAGAAATGGAAACAGATAAATTATATACACACTTAATGAAAGATTTGAATTGGTCCCCTACTTTTTCTCCTTAATTGTATAAAATGTTTCCATCAACAAAAATTTCATTAAAAGCATGGGACATTTAAGATTATAAAGCCCAACTGGAATTGGTCTAGATTAATGCCGCTTTCTAAACATTATATACCGCAATTAGAATTAGCTGACTGGCATTCAAAATTTATTTATAATATGGACAATTGATTTTGAGAATAATTCCCTATTGTCACAAAGAAAATTCAAAGCAAAATAAATTTTGGATGATGACCTGGCTCACCACAAGAACAATTTGAGATGGCCAACTAAGATAAAAAAAATTGAAAATTTTTATAATTTGTATTTAGAGCAAATATATTTACTCAACCCCAATCAGAAACACACTATTTTTCTATGCTATTCTTATTTATCTTTAACTAATAAACACAAATACGACTTTATGTTAACCTGGGAAAGGGATTTGGCCCTATATTGGGAATTGGAAGATTGGTTTGGAATTGCATTACTTATCAAAGCCATAGTGTTCTAACCATGTGGAGAACTATTGTAAAATCCTGTCGCACCTGGCCCTTTCACGGTTACATAAAATGAATTTAAACTCTTTGGATAGATGTTGGAGGGCTGTGGTGACCTTGGAATGCTGTCTCACATATGGTGTCACTGCAAACAAATTCAAGATTTTTGGAATGGAATTCATTTATTAATTAAAAATATCGATCCATCTATTGTTTCATTTACACCAGGTACATTTCTTGACTCTTTTACAATTGGTGATAAAACGCGCCTAATGGTAAAACATAGTGACGTGATATAGAATACCTTTATAGTGTGGTATACAGATGTATAGATTTATGCGTACATACATCATTTGATATTCAGTGAATAGATTCTCAAGAATCAATGTGCAATATATCACTTTAAGTGCTTATTCAATATAAATATTTAAGAGGACTAACTCACATTTTTCTGAGCTATTCATAGCTCTGCATTTTTTCACTTGGATGGTACAATCCCCATCTCAGGACGTATGAAGCTCCTCGAGATGGTGTACGGTAGTGTTCCAATATATAAACAATAAAACAGAAGTGGAAACTTTGATGGTGTAGTATGTTAACCTCAGAAGTAAAAAGGTAAAACACAGTATTCTACTTACAATGTATAGAGCAAAAACTTGCTCTGGTGTTGTACAGCTTTGGTGGTATAATCCCCACCTATGATGTGCAGGAACAAGTAAAAGAGTCAGCAGCACAAAATAATAAAAAAGGACTTATAATATTTTTTAACAAATTACTTTATTAAGTTACAAATATATAGTAAAATCTGCATGGAACACAATATTGTCAATAAAAAAAACAATAGGAGGCAATAATCTCACTCTTAACACGTTTCTTCCAGCAGGGCTTCCTCAGAAGTTTGTGCATCCCTGGAGTGTCTCTGTTTATATAGACAGTTAATGATCTTGCAGTAGCAACAGGTGAATCCTGATAATTGAAGGCATGCTGACTTAATTAATTCATTTCCTGTGAGCTGCGGGTGTCGCCCGGAAGTAATTGTCTGTTGTAATGCATTGTAATGTTGTATATGAGCATTTCCCAGCATTGGAGATTGATAGCAGTAAATGAGACACAAATGTGTCATTCTCCATTTTGAGTATTGGTGAGAC